CAAGGAACATTCATCAGAAGCAAAAATATACTTTTCTAAATCAAATTTTTGCGTTGTTTTCAAATCTGCAATTAGACTTTTTTATATTATTACTAATTACATATAAAATAATAATTAAAAGAAAAAAAATTATTTTCAAATTATTACTGATTTGATTTTTAATATGTTAAAAATAATCAGTCCAAATTTTCATTTTTAACCTATTTTTTTGGTTCTTTAAAGTTGATGAAAAATTTTTGATAAAGATTTATGAATGTTTATTGTAAAAATGGAATATATTACCATAACTTTTAGCTCAATTACAAGTTTAAAATTGACAACAAAGGAAAAATTTCTTAACAAATTCCCAAGGAAATTTTGTTTTATTAATAGTTGAATTAAAATATGTATAATGACATACTAATAGTCCTCATTGATTGAAATTGAGCTTTTTTTTTACAGCGCTCAATATACAAAAAATATGGCACAAAGCACCCACACTTTTTTTCATAATAATTCTGGTATTTTTCGTTCATAATTATTTTAAACTTATTTTAAAAATTATTTTTAACTTTTTAGTTCGATGTGCTTTAAAAGCGTTTTTTTTAGTTTTTTTAAACTATATTTATTTTTCACTTTTTAGTTTCATGTTATGGTAATAGTTAATATCAATATCATGGTTGTAAGGGGTAACGGGAAATCAGGGTTCGATTCTGGAGAGGGAGTCTAAGAAACGGCTACCACATCCAAGGAAAGCAGCAGGCGCGCAACAGGGTGGTAGTGACGAAAAATGACATACGGGAATCATCCCCCGTAATCGGAATGAATATACTACATATCTCTTAATGAGTATAAAGCGTATTAATATATACATTTTTATAGTAATTAGAATATATATATATATATATATACATTAGGGTGGTCCTTATTTTTCGACTTCATAAATTCAGAGTCATGGGCTCAAAATTTCGTTAGGTTCACTGAAAAAATGAAACTGGTAAAATTTGAGTACAATAAGTCAACCCCTTCACGTGCCTCAAAGGGGTTGAAGTTCTTCAAAAATGGGGTGGATTATCTTTTTTTGAGTGTACGCTCTTTATTTTTGAAGTTTCGCCAAAAACACAAAGAACAATTTTTATAGAACTCAATGTGAACAAAAAATAAGGTAATATACTATTTTTTTGTAAAATTAATATTTTTTCGTAAAAATAAGAAAAATCAGTTTCACTTAATTTTTTTAAAAAAATGACATAGTTTTCAGTTATACTTTTCTAGTGTCTTAAATTTTAATTGTACGCAGAAATTGTACAGAAGTAATATTAATCACAGTGATATCTTCTTTTAAATACGTTATTTGAGTTTTTTTCGAATTATGAATCCTTTCCAAATAAAAATTTAAAACAACTACGAAAACGTATTTTTTTTTTTTTTTA